AATGGCTGCTGATGACTATTTGAATTGAATTCTGCCAAAGTGCGCGCTTGTAAGTGTTCGTTAAATGCGTAACGTTAATTACGTGAATAGGCTACAGGTCTACTCATGTCTGAAAATAATATATGAAAAACAAAATTATTTTACATAAAAACATTATAGCTTATATTTGTTTAGTACATTTTTAAATTAATGTAAAAACTAAAATGAATTGTAAAACTGAAAGTTATTTTTTTAATTGTGTTCAGCATGATGGGCGGCATTTGAATTCTTGACGGACCGCGGGTTGAGAACCACTGCATTATGCCTACGTAAAAAAGAAGTCTAGTAGGTTAGACTAGTGCACGTGCGAGTTCTTTCACTGCATGATTCAGTATTAAAATGCATGAAGAATGATCAGAAAATTCAAGATATGGGGGCAGAAAATATATATATTTATATCATTTCATATAGTTAAACAATATCACACGTAGATCGAGTGCTGTTTTTTTGCTCCAAAAATCAGCATGATTACAAATGTGATTTTAGACAACTGTTCAATAAACAAGAAGTTAATGTTAAGAGACTTGCGTTTTAGACAGCATATTGCCTGTTTTTTGTTCTATTTCACCAACAGAAATAATTCCAAACACAGCCACAGCACTGTTTTGCGTCTCTGAGCAACATGACGGTGTTTCATTCCTGAATGAATCAACCGTTTAAATGATTCGGTTCAGTCGCTATGACTCACTTATTAACGGTGACTTGCTGCCACCTACTGGCCGTTTTAATTTCACATTTAAAGTATTTTTTTATTTTTTAAGCTAAATAAACTAAACTTGACATGCTCACAAAATCTACTACATATACTCTATAAACACTATACTATATTTTGTATAACTACAATAAATAATTATATTTATAACTCAATTTAAATGTATTTTTTTCTATCCGGGCAAGTAACTTTTATACTCCGAAGGACAACCACATGAGAATGCTTAATATCAAGCCCTGCATTCCTAATGTGTACAAAAAAGACAAACTAGATGAGAAAAGTTTGTAAACAAACTTTTATTTTGGCTTGACAGAACCTTGTTTGAATGTTTGAAAAGACTCAAATCAGAGGCAATAAAATGTTATTAATATTACTGAAATGTTTAAGTTGCTAACAAGATTTAACATGCTGTGAACGTGTGTTAGCACACTGCTAACATGTTTTATCATGTTGCTAACATGTTTTAACACTTTGTTAGCATATTTTAACACATGATTTATAGCATGATTCAGAATGCTGCTAGCATGATTTAATGGGGCTAGCATTATTAGCATGTTGTTAGCATGTTTTAACATGTCAACATGTTTTAGCATGTTGTTAATATGTTTTAACGTCAACATGTTTTAGCATGTTGCTAGCATGATTAAGCACATTGTCCTAGGATAGTCGTTAAGCTTTGCTAGTGATTGACAGCTGAAATACACTATAGGTCTTATTGTACAAAAGTTTTGACTCCCTCAATGAAAACTTATGGGGTTTTTCGTAGCTTTGATCATCCGGGTTATGAAAACCATAAGTCAGATCAGTTAAAGATATTGCATCCTAAGAAGAAGCAGCAGCTTAAATAGGATTTCAGTATGTTGGATGTGTCTTGAACCCGCCCACCGCTGCTCTTTCTGATTGACCCGAGGACTTTAAGTGTTAGCATGTCCCGTGCTCAGATGCTCCGTGTTCCCGTCCTGTCGGAGAACATGCTCGGATCATGCTAGGAATGTGAGGAATTCTGTGAGGCAGAGAGTCCTCTGACAGACCGCAGAGCCGGGGCACATAAACTCACTCCTGAGTGATGGATCCAGAGCGGGAGGGTGAGGTTTACATTCCTGTCAGAAAGTGAAGGCTAATATGAGGCAGTGACGCAGAAACAAAAGCAAGGCAAATACAGGAAAGCTGTGGAGATCCTCCAAGCAATGGGCTTTTCCTGAAGCATAAACCTGTTTGTCTCTGCACTCTGGTTCCACTTGAACCATCAGACATTGAGATAATGTGCAAATGGTGTGTTACCTCATTCCTTTTTGACCGTTTTTTCTGTTTTGAGAATAGATCATAAGATATTGTGTGAATGAGTGGCGCATTTTCGTCTACTACACATACTCAAGCACTAACTGATGTGTCGTTTTGTCTCCTCAGGCCTTTATGATGGAATTGACAGCCCACCAGAGCAGCGTGGGTAACGTCTTACAGGCGGGAAACCAGCTGATCGCTCAAGGCAACCTGAGTGAGGAAGAGGAGGATGAGATCCGAGAACAAATGACACTGCTCAACTCCCGCTGGGAAAACCTGCGGGTCGCCAGCATGGACCGTCAGTCCAGGTACGGACGCACACATTCCTACCGAAGTCTTCTGTTTGAAGAGTGTGCTTGAATTTGTCATCTCTCCTCTGTCTTCAGACTTCATGAAGTTCTGATGGACCTTCAGCAACAGCAGCTCCAGCAGCTCTCCGATTGGCTGACGCAGACGGAGGGGCGGATCCGTAAGATGGAGAAAGAGCCAATAGCAGGAGACTTGGAGGGATATCTGGCCCAGATAGAGCAGCACAAAGTAAGAGGAGCATTCGATTTCTCTATTTAAAGTAGGACTGGGTATCGCCAGCTATGTTATGGTGTGTCATGGTACGTTGCAATGCATCACAAAACGATACACTGTAAAAAATGCTGCGTTTATGGAATAGTTCAAGCAAAAATGAAAATTGGCTGAAAATGTCCTCACCCTCAGACCATTCAAAATGTAGATGAGTTTGTTTCTTCATCAGATCTGGAGAAATGTAGCATTGCATCAGTGTCTCAGCAATGGAGGCTCTGCAGTGAATGGGTGCCGTCAGAATGAGAGTCCAAACAGCTGATAAAAACATCACAATAATCCACAAGTAATCCACACCACTCCAGTCCATCAATTAATGTCTTGAGAAGTGAAAAGCTGCGTGTTTATAAGAAACAAATCCACCATTGAGATGTTTTAACTTTAATCTGTCACTTCTGGACAAAATATGAATCCATAATAACTCTTCCTCCAGTAAAAAGTCCATCCCCTGTTGTCCTCTCACATCAAAATCCACTGACATATTTGTTCAGATCTTTTTCAGACTGTTTTGGCTTGTAAACCGTGCTTGATATGTGCAGATTTCACTCCTGATTCAGACGAGCTGACTTTTTCACTGGAGAAAGTAATATTATGGATAGAGGACTTGTATTTTAGTCAAAAGCAATGGTTTGAAGTTAATGTCTTGATGGATTTATTTCTTACAAACACGCAGCTTTTCACTTCACAAGACACTAACTGATGGACTGGAGTGGTGTGGATTACTTGTGGATTATTGTGATGTTTTTATCAGCTGTTTGGACTCTCATTCTGACGGCACCCATTCACTGCAGAGCATCCACTGCTGAGCAAGTGATGCAATGCTACATATCTCTAAATCTGATGAAGAAACAAACTCTTCTACATCTTGGATGGTCTTAAGGTGAGTAAATATTTAGCCGATTTTCATTTTTGAGTGAGCTATTTCATCAAAAACAAACTAAACGGAGTAATTTTAGCAACCCAGTGCTTGGTCACAAAGGGATGAACCCAGCTCTGGGTTGTTTTGATCCAGCTGCAAATCTTGCTGGCTTAAAATGAACCCAAAATGAGTTGTAAATTAAAATCACACACGGAATGACTACAATACAGAACACAGTCAACAGTAATAATCAAAAGGTGAAATGCATAGGCAAAGTGGTATCAGCACACATGTAACTGTTAGAATTTGAACTTGTGTGATGTGTAATGCTCTATTTCATGTCTGCATTCCCAGCTCAGCACAGTTGGGTTATGGATTATGAATGATTATCAACCCAGCTTCCTTACCCAACAGTTTCATTCAAGCATTTTTTAGAGCGACTTGATCACAATTGATAGATTGTAGATTAGAAAAAAAATAGATCGAAGATTGTAGAAAAAGATTACGAAACATTAAGAAAGATTAGCAAACATTAAAAGAAAATTAAGAGACAAAGTGTATACCTCTGAGCAATAAAACGTTCCTAAGGAGACTTGAGTAGTTAATGAATGACTCTTATCAGAGATCCCGTCTGTGTGCATAACCTGTTCACAAATAAAAGCTTTCTCTTTCTGATCTCCAATGTGAATTTATCATGAATGCTGAGAGAGAGAGATAGAGAGAGGTTGAGTTGTGAGAAGAATGAATAAGCAAATCAACACGCCCCGGTGAATGAGGGGCAAACATGACCTCAGCGTGTTTGTTCAGGTAGCGAATGGAGAACACACACACACACATTCGCTCCCACACACGCTTACATTTAGGAGCCTCACAGTCTAATAGGAAGGGTATCGGATCACACTAGTGCTTCCACATTTTTTATGTACACTTTAATACTTGACACAGTACTGAGTCAAAAAATATCCGCCCTAAATTCTACTACATCAAGCTTATTCGGAGAAACCTGTTAAAAACATGCCTTGGTCAGATTTGACCCAAAATGAAAGGTATTAGAAATGATATACTACATCATCATTAACAAAATAAAACCAATATTTTGAACTACATGTAATAAACATGTTTGCATTATGATATTATTTTCATATTTCCAGCTTCCAGTTCTGTTTAATAAATGAATAAATAAATAAATATAAATATAAATAAATAAATGAATAAATAGATAAATATGTAAACAAAATCACCATCATAATAATTGCAGTGTGAAAAAAATAAAATAAAATAGAATTAAAACAATATATTACTATAATTTCAAATAATAATATAGTGATTGGTGATTTTGTGATATCTTGCCTTAATAAATGTGCATTTCCTCTTTTGTGGGTAAATTAAGAAACTTAACAAAATGTAATCAAAGTGTACTTTAGACCTTATGACCTTTTTCACTGTGCTATGTCCTCAGGTTTTGCAGAATGATCTGGAGCTAGAACAGGTAAAGGTGAACTCTCTCACGCACATGGTTGTGGTCGTGGATGAGAACAGTGGGGAGAGTGCCACTGCTGACCTGGAGGAACAACTGCAGGTAGAGGACAACATGCACGATATAATGCTGATTTACTTTTATTTGTTGTGGCGAAATTACTGTAATTATGAGATGGCAATTCAGAGAGTCTGGTCAGAGCTGTTTTTGTCCCCAGACATACACATTATAGAAATCATTTGTTTCTTTGCTAAAAATTCTTTTTAAAGTGTCAGCTAGTGTTTCTTAAGGACTAATTTTTCATTCATTAATCATTCATTCATATTATATTCAAATTAATTGTTCATTCCTGCTGTCTTTAAGGAAATCTTCAAATACTACTGCTTTAACAAGAAAATGCATTATGGTATCTGTACCAATGTGCAATATTGTTTGACTAGAGATATAGAGATCAAGGTGAATGTTACATTAAAGAATTAATTTTACAGTAAATTTCTTCTTACCTAAAGTGCAGAGGTAATCAAACCAAGCTGTTTTCCATGCCTTTACTGATAGCTCCTCTAAGGAATGAGATCTATTAATGTTGGATAAAGTGTTGAGAATTCTTTGGATGCAGCACAGCAAGAAACTTGGAACTGAACAGACATTTGACACTCCCAGCAGCCATAAAAGCATGTGAAAAAGTCATTCAGTGAATAACTTTCTCTTTTTTGCTTTTCCTTCTGTTCTTTACAGTCACTGGGGGAGCGCTGGGCGGCAGTGTGTCGCTGGACGGAGGAACACTGGAACAAACTCGAGGAAATTCAGCTTGTGTGGCAGCGGCTGCTTGATGACCAGGTGAGACCTGATGGCAAAAATCCAACATTCCCGTGTAGCAAATCACAAAATTGATAATGAGGCCCTTATAGGCATGTTTGCAAATAATTGTTTCTGGACTTTGTTAAATGTTTTCAAGTTTGGAAATTGAAACAGAAAATTTTTTTTTTCATGATCAGTCATTTCTATAATGTTTGATACTTAAATATGTTTGTTTTTGCCCATCCATACATTAATTTCAATCCAGCACAAGCCTGAAGTTACTACAGCTGCTGGCCAAAAAATAATCAGGGGTGTGCCTCAGGGCTCTGTGTTGGGCCTCATTGTGTTGTGCTCTTATCTCAGACTTGGAATGTTCATTTAATACATTTAAGGGTCAGATTGCTATTTTAACAGTTTAGACTGCATTCTGGGAAAGGGTGAGATTGAATTATGGCGGTTTATGACCTGCAGACACCATTACCACTGACCCATTACATCATCAGCATAGAGTGCACACAATCTTATTCTCACACTTCCCCCATCTAGACCACTTCCGTCAGTCTGCAGACTGAACTGTGATGCAAATCAAAGGATATTGTCTATGATATTACATTAAATTAATGTTTTTATGCCAAAGTACTGTGTAAGGGTGGGTAGTATGATTATTTTCTCTTTTTATTTGGAGCAATATATGAATGATGATGCATTTTTGCTATTGGAAAATCAACTTTCTTCTCATCCATTCAGAGTTTGTTTGGATCGTGGCTAGCAGAAAAGGAGAAGGCCTTGAGTGAAGTTCAGACCAGTGATTTTAAAGACCCTAGTGAAATAAATGCCAGCGTGCGCAGATTAGCCGTGAGTAGACAAACATACATAATTTTGTATTTGCAAGTTTTAATTACATGCCCATAGTATAGGATATTTTTAAATAAATAATCAATGTTATGAGAACATAAAGCATTATAATCATGTTCAGATCATCTCACAAAATATCTTCTAGTCCACAGATACTACTACTTTTATTATTATTTTTTTTTTAAGATTGTAAGCTTAGGTTTTACAAATAATAAACATTATTCAACCGAAATCTGCCTGGTTGATAAGAGCATCTCTGTTTTGGCCTTTGACTCTTTGCAGAATCTCAAGGAGGATATGGCCCAGAAGCGGAGGGCCCTGAGTGCTCTGTCAGATGCTGGACAGGATGTGATGGTGCTGTTAAACAGTCCAGCCGCAGCTCAGAGGATCGAAACAGACACAGACTTACTGACCCAACGCTGGGACAACCTGGTCCAAAAACTAGAGGACTGCTCCAGCCAAGTCAGATAAATGCATCTCACTTGTTTATATTACTACACATTAGCTTTTTATATGACATTGATTCCAATCGTCTGTTCGGTTTCCAGGTAACCGAAGCGGTGTCTGGGATACCCCAGGTACCGGAGAAGGTTGTCATGGAGACAGTCACAACAGTAACAACACGGATGGAGCAAACCTTCACCAGCAGCGATCGAGAGCTACCGCCACCTGCCCCACCTAAAAGACGACATCTGGATACAGACGGCGAGCTCAGGATACTGTACGACAAACACACAGCTTCCTTGTCAGAAAATCTCTTTTATCAGTCCCTTTGACATCTTGCAATTTTCAAAATTGAACTCTGCACTATTTGCTTGCATTTTTGCAAATTTTCACAAAAAAATGTTAACCTGAGAGGGGGCAAAGCAACATTAGCTATAATTCCAAGCCCAAACTAATTCTTCAATGTGTTCAACTGTCCTGCCACTTGATTGTGGTGAATTCCGTTATAAAACCATATAAAAGTGTTTAAATGTAAGGAAAAGATCCAATATGAGGCAGGCCGGTTTGAGCGATGTGGAGGTTAATATCTAATATTTCCGAGCGATCTCCCCAAATGATTTATTCATGACTTACATTAATCTATTGTTTTTTTTCAACCTATTCACTCCTAAAAGATACCAAAGAGAGATGCAGCTGCACAAGTGATCCAACGCTTTGCTTAAGCTTGTGTTAAGCATGTAGGGAAAATGAAAATTTCTAGAGGTTTAATGCTACTACATATAATAATGAATATAATGTATATGCTTTCACCAGTAGGTTCGATTTAAATAAGTACAGTATTTTACTGGATATGCACTTTTTAAATATGTGACCCAGGACCACAAAACCAGTCATAAGGGTCAATTTTTTTGAAATTGAGATTTATACATCATATGAAAGCTGAATAATCATTAATTCACCGATTTGTTAGGATAGGACAATATTTGGCCGAGATACAACTATTTGAAAATCTGGAATCTGAGGGTGCAAAAAAAATCTAAATACTGAGAAAATTGCCTTTAAAGTTGTCCAAATGAAGTTCTTAGCAATGCATATTACTAATCAAAAATTAAGTTTTGATATATTTACGGTAAAAAATTTACAAAATATCTTTATGGAACATGATCTTTACGTAATATCCTAATGATTTTTGCCATAAAAGAAAAATCGATAATTTTGACCCATACAATGTTTTTTTGGCTATTGCTACAAATATACCCCAGCGACTTAAGCATAAGCTATACATAATTTATGCATAAGCTATACAGTGTTTACACACACTTCACACACTGCTCTGTTGTTCTGCTCCACTGTAGCACTCCCTCATGTGAACTTAATTTGTGTAAAAAAATTTAGTAAAAACAAAAAAAACAATTTGAGAAAAGCCACAGCAAATTCAATCATTTTAGGCTGCAAAATATAGAAGTAAAAAAGTGCTCTACAGAAATATCAAAGATTGTCCATCATACCTAAAAGTGTTTTTTGACAATTAAAATTTCACATTTTAAGCATTAGGGATTAGCAGCTGTTTGAGCAAAAATGTCATGAAATTGTTTCTTTCATCATGCGGTTATGCCTGTGTTCATAACGAGCACATTTGGGAACCATTGGCATAAGCTATACAGTGTTTACACACACTTCACACACTGCTCTGTTGTTCTGCTCCACTGTAGCACTCCCTCATGTGAACCCTGATATGATGTGTTTGTGTTTTTTAGAGCTGAAACTGATGTTCCCAAGCTTTTGTCACGGCTGGCTGCATGGAAGTCATCTGCCCGAGCTGCTGGAGACACGCTTGGTCTGAAGGAAAAACTACAGGTGACTTATTATAACACTAACATTTACCTATTCATATATTTGGTCTACTGAATATTTTTGTCCCATCTCTGTAGTCCCTGCGGGTGGAGCTTGCTGAAAACGAGGGGGCAGTGAAAGAGGTGGTGCAGAAAGGAGAGAAGATGATTGAGAAAGGTAGGAGAATGTGGATGATTTCCTCAAGATGAATGATGGTGCCTGTTTTCTCCTACTGATTAAAATTACTCAATCTGTCTTTATAGAAGGTATGTCTTCAGACGAGGCCCGTTCTGCTCTGGACTCTGTGTGTAAAGAATGGGAGAGCTGCCAGAACCTGATCCAGGATCTCAGGAACCGAGCTCAAGTTCTAGAGCAGGTGGCGGCGGTTCAGTCAAGACTGAAGGCTCTAGATGGAGTCCTGCAGGAACAGGAGAAGTGGCTGATCTCCACAGAAGGCTTTAGAGCAAAAAACAACCAGCAGGAACTCCAGACACTCAAAGACGATTGTGAGGTCAGTCAAATACCAGGCCATTTTATACAAGATCATTTCCTTAAATTAGATGTTAACGGGAATCTAATTGTCCACACTTAAAAATAAAAGTTCTTTATTGGCATTGATGGTTCCATGAAGAACCGTCAACATCCATAGAACTTTCCATTGCACAAAATAGTGAAATAAAGTTCTTCAGATTATTAAAATGATGTTCACGCTAAGAAAATTTTTTTATTTTAAGAGCTGATCACTGAAGGTTCTTTGGGGAACCAGTTCTCAAAAGAGCCATCTTTTCTTTAGAACATTTTAATGATCTAAAGAACCTTTTGTGGAATGCAAAGTTTCCATGGATGCTCTTTTATGAACAGTTCTTCATGAAACCCATTGATGCCAACAAAGAACCTTTATTTTTAAGATTGTAGTAACATGCTAAAAACCACTCAGAATGCCTTATGTGGGTTTTTGAGTTGTTAATAGAGCAAATGTGTACTGTATTTGTGTTTCAGGCTCGGATAGCAGATCTGGAAAAGCTTCAGCCGCAGGTGGAAGATCTCTGTTCTCAGACGGAGCGTCTGGCCGCAGAACCTGGAGCCCCTGATACCATGAGGCCCAGTGTGGCGGCGCTGGCATCACGCCACAGCACAACTATTGAAGAGCTCAAGACGCGGCAGCAGGACATCACTACAGGTATACATTGCCAAATTACAGCCCTTACACTACGCTCTCATAGCATTTAAAGAATGTCGCTCCAGCCTGCAATTTGAGGGAACTTGGGATTTTGCAAATTGGTAGTTGAGCTTTTCTTTCTAAGCTACAAATATAGAGAAATGAAATCGCTTCTGGAGAAAGAACAACATTCTTACGGGATAGTTAAGGCAGCAATTCCATTGCTTATTCACCCTCATGTCATTCCAATGCGTATGACTTTGTTCATTCTTTCGAACACAAAAGGAGAAATTTTGAAGGATGTCCAACCTGCTCTTTCCACACTGTAAAATAGAGTGTAACTGGTTCTGTGAAGCTCCAAAAATGACAAAAAAAGTACCATAAAAGTTTATGTGAGCTGTCCGTTAGGCAGCATACAGACTGAAATGCTACCTCGCAAGTTTATAAACCTCATAAAAACTCTCTACATAAGTAATAACGCCACACAAATGACATAGGAGACGCAACTGATTTCAATAGTTAAGCCAAGCTAACAATGTGAAACCAGACACCTGTAGAAATAGACATGATTGAAATATTAACAGAATACACTGTAATGTCTAAGATGGCGGCTGTAGGAATGTAAGTCCTGCCCTTCAGTAAAAGAGCAAGGCTGTGTATAAAATCACTTACTGTCTTGAGTATGTACTTCTTTTGATTAAGTGCTTAAAAAAGTATGTTAATGTAATCCAGACATTCTACATCCGCCATAGAGCCCTAAGTTCTAACAATGCCAAGTTTTCATTCCCTGATAAAATGTAATCCTTTGGATAAAAAAACATCTGGTTTTGTGTTGTGAGTGCAATTATGACCTTAAGATACTGCCTATGCTGGCAGTTCACTAGGTTTTGGAGCAGATCTACAGAAAGATTGAGGCTCACTGAGGTTTTTAGAAGTCCCGGGGTTTGAATTGGTGCCAAGGGCTGCAGTACCTCTGTTTCTCTTGTTCGCTTCAGTTTTATTTAAAGACAGAAATAGTGACTTACGCAACAGGTAAATCATTTGTGGAACCAACAAGAGCAGAGCCAGAGTGAGAGAGAGAGCGGTCTATTTATGGCTGTAATGTCAGTGTGGCCCATGAGCAAGCTTTTACACACACCGATAAACCTCTGAGTGTGTGTGTGTGTGTGTGAGTGTGTGTGTGTGTGTGTGTGTGTGCGCGCATGCTAGAAAGAGCTCTAAGTAAGAGTACATCAGTGTTTAACCTTAAAGCTTGAGCAAATCTCTCTCTCACACACACATTTAGCTAGCCATGGAAATGAGGACATACCATAGATTTCTATTGTTTTACATACAGCTAATAACTATAGACTGACCCCATTCTGAAAAACGGTTTAGAGATAAAATTGATTAAACCAGAATAAAAACGGCGGCAGTAACAAAATGTTTCTTTCTTAAAAACTTTTTTTTCCCTAATATAGAGCCTTCCACGATGTCTCAGAGCGATGTTTTGTCAGATTTAGCTAACTTCTGTGACCGTTTTGTGCCCAAAGTTTACAAAGTTACGCACACACGTTTACTTGGCTGACTTTATATAAAGCTAATTATAATGACTAGCACAAAGCCCTATAGCAGTTTTGTCCCCAAGGTATGGCTGCATTAAATATAAACAGTTGAATGTTTGTGGGACAAGCGGAAAGCTAATGTTCCATGATTTGACCTGTTGACCTCTAACATCTGGGATTCAAGCTACGCCAACACACACCCACACACAATGACAAGCACAAATGAGCTGCAGGCAGTTATTTTCGTCTCTTCTCTGATATCCAACATCCAATAAACATCTTAGAAGGAGCTGGTTCACATACATTCTTAATCACAGATGTCAAAATCCAACAGAGATTATTTTAGTGATGTACTACAGAAGAGGAAGCATCCGGATGTACAGTAAATACTGCATGTGTGCTATGAAGGGGCGTTTGTTTTTGTGTGTGTGTGTGTGTGGGGTGTAGTTGACTAATTTACTGTATATCATATCCAGTCACAGGCCTATTTGGCATATATATCATAATGCATCACATCTTATCATGCATTTTTATGAGCTTATATTAATTGACATGGAAGGACTGAATATATGTTGTTTAAAAATTGCTACCAAAAACTGCTAAAATGTGGTGAAAAGTGTGAAATAGTGACCAGTTACAGCATCAAAATTATACTTTCCTTTAAGAATATAGATTTTTATTTAATCAATCTGAATGGCTTTGGGATGGATGGATGGATTGATGGATTTGTGTCTGTGTAGTTTTGTCAGAGTGAAAAATTTAAGGGGGTCTGAATACTTTCCGTACCCACTGTATATCATAATGCATCACATCTTATCATGCATTTTTATGAGCTTATATTAATTGACATGGAAGGACTGAATATATGTTGTTTAAAAATTGCTACCAAAAACTGCTAAAATGTGGTGAAAAGTGTGAAATAGTGACCAGTTACAGCATCAAAATTATACTTTCCTTTAAGAATATAGATTTTTATTTAATCAATCTGAATGGCTTTGGGATGGATGGATGGATTGATGGATTTGTGTCTGTGTAGTTTTGTCCAGGCTGGCGGGGTCCAGAGCGCTGCAGCAGATGGAGTCCAGACTGAACACAGTCAGCGCTGATATCAGAGACATCCCCACAGCTGAGCAGGGAGTCATCAGAGCTCAGGTGTGTGTGTGTGTTTGTGTGTGTGTTTGACAGAGATGCTCGAATGCAGGGTCTAGAAGTCAGTTTTAGTCACACCTGCCAGCGGTGAGTGAATTGAGACTATTTACCTGACATGATAGTCATCAGAAGACGTGTGATTGGCCACAGATACTTTCTTTAGTAGACGAATTATATATCTTTGATTTAAAATCACTTACAGTAAATCAATGAGAGTTAAAGCCTGTTCACACCAAGGATGATAACTTTAACGATAACTATAAAAATACAGTATTCTAAAGGTGTGAAATTTCACGGGAAATAGAGGTCCATTGTCTGTTGTCAGTGTTGTAGTGATGAAGCACAGCTCACACAGAAGTCAGCTTCAGATCAAGCAGCTTTCTGATGGATAATGCAGTGAATCTGCGTGAGCAACCTGAACCCGGTGCAAAATCTGCGTGGGGAGATCTTTCCCTTGTTTGAAACTCCTGATCGGGTGGATTCCTGTTGAAATCACTGGAATCCGTCCATGAAAATGTGCAGAACAATGGTAAATGTAAGTGTGCCTGAATTTTGTGAGACAATGAGCACGTTTACATGCACACCAGTAAGCTGATAACTCACAAATATCAGCTTATTAAAACAACCAGTTTTCCCAGTTTACATGCACATCAGTAACCTGACAACGCAAGTAAGCTGCGTTTACATGACTTCATTAATAAATCAGGTTATTTCCCTGTAATCAAAATATAATCATTTGCGTATCTGACTCGGAGTATTCCATTCATTTGTCAGTTATGATGTTAAATTAAGCTTGCAACATGTCAACTTACAGCTCATACATTATCCTCTCATGCAGTTATAAACGCAGCATTGTGACTGAACCACTTCTACTTCTGCTGCACGAGATGAGAACACATTTTTATCATTTTCTGAGTCATGAAAAAGTCTGCGTTTGTGATATATTTCCTTCTTTCTTTACTGCAAGACGTTTGCATGCGCTTAAATCTGCACTAATGATGCGTTCCTGTCACGTATCACACATGCACACTTCAATAAGCCGACAGCAAGCGGGTTATTGCGTTTACATGCCGTGCGAAATCGGAGTAAGAGGCAAAAACGACCTGTTGCGACCAGTTTATGCTTACGCCGTTTATGACCTTACTCCGATAAAAGAAAATGGGTTTTCGGCTTATTAAGCATAATCGGCTTAA